CGGAAGGGTGAGGGGGAAGGATCGCCGGAGCCCAGCAGGTTGAGGCTGCGGTGGCCGGGAGCGGCCACTGCACTCCAGTCTGCGCGCCAGAGTGAGACTCCAACTCAAAAAAAACCCAAAAAACAAAAAACTGCAAACTTGAGTCTCATCACCAAATCAATGAAGATGAACAGAAGACCCATGAGTCTTCCCCAGGGATTAGTTGCTGCTTTAAAACAACACCGCATATGAGAAGGAATTCTCCCAGGCACCAGTGGATTAATCTTGCCATTTTTTCACTGAGATAAATGAAAGAAGAAATGATGCCAACAAACACTAGTCTTTCAGTATCCTCAAAAACCAAACATTCTCGAGTTCAAAAACCAAGATTTATAAGCAGAAGGAAGTATATTGGGGTGTCAAAAATAAAATAAATCCTCTGCTTATTTTGGCTGGATGTTTCTATTTCTTTCAAACTCAAGTCCAGATTGTCACATGGAAGAAATATTTCCTTGTGGATTAATCTCAGAAGATTCACCCACCCTCCTGTTCCTTCTGGGCTACTTGATGGGCTGGAATGTGCTAGGAAAATGGAAATCAATATCTAAAACAGCCCTGAACAAATTTAACTAAGAAGGAACACAATGCCATAGTAACAACATTTCGTATTTTCAAAACCCCAGATAAATAATGTTGAGGGTATTCATCTTACTGTTATCTCTAAATAATGTAATTAGTAATACGTAAGGCTTAGATATTTAAAAATTTTCAGTGGAAGAAAGGGACCATAAATCTATCTCTGAAAATTGAGTAAAATAGTCAAGGAAAGGTCATTTTAGAATTCATCCAAGTGACTGTGTCGTGTTCTCTTCTGCACCAGATGTACGACACCCAATCATGACCTAACAGCCTTCCTGTTGATCAGTGTAGGCTCTCTTAGTCCTATGGCAAAGAACATTTGTCCTTGGTGACATAAGTTCTTTTTTATAAGAAGCTCTATAGTCCACTCAGGGTTGTCTGTTACAAATGGCACAGAAGAGAAACTTTTACTAAGTGGGTTCGCCTCAAAACTCTTTCCAACTAAGTTTCTATAACGCTAAGAGAAACATTTGCTTTTGAAATTGTTCTGCTCCCTCTCAGATTGAAGAACAAAAAGAGAAGAGCAAATAGCAATTTATTAAGCAACGAAAATGAGCAGGCACTGTGGTCGAGGCTTTTAAATAGATATTTCATTTAGCACTCATAACGGTTATGTGGTTAGTATTATCACTGTTTCTCTTTTGTAGAAGAATAAACAATTGTCTCAACATCACACAATCCCTAGGCACTCGCCACCAATCTAACTTCTAAGTCCTCTAAATTTTCAATAATCATCCCTTATCCTTCATCTATGAGGATAACTGAAAAATAATCTTATCTTTATAAATAATAATAACAATAAATCCTAAACAGGTAGAACTTGAGACAATGGGCTTACTTTCACCAAACTTAGACAATTCTGGGTAATAATGATTTAAGGAAAATCATTTTCTGAACTGTAAATACTATAAAACAAAATTCAAATGTAAAAAAGGTATTCAAAATTTAAATTTTCTGTCCTAAAATGATAAAGTCAGCAAGAAGAAAAAGTACTTTCATAGTTTTATCCATTTTTAGGACACTAATGCATGTCATGTGGTTTGTAGACTTGGATGTAAGATGTGGTTAGTAGCTACTTCACTCTGCTTACTTTTTACACCGAGTTCCTTTTAAACGGTTTCCTTAAAAACAGCATAATATTGATATGTGAGGTGATTGCATATCTTTTACCCATAAGGATTTTAGGTAGTAATATGATTCCTAGTTTGTATGTTCATTGAGTTCTATCTTCTCTTTACTGTTTTTTAATAAGCACATAAGGAAATTGCTGCTTATTTGTGAATTACATAAATTATTTGCCATAACTGAGAATTTTCCTCCCTTGATGCCTTACTGGTTAACACTCTCAATATAAGTAATTTTAACTGGCTTCAGTTTTACAAGTTTAATTTCTTGCCAGAGTTTATGACTGAAAACATTTGGTAGTCACAAGCGTCTTATATTAAATGTCTACTTCAAGTCTTTTTAAGTCACTTTTTTTCTTTGTAAATTTTATCTTTCCATTACTCAATCAATTACTTTTTAATTGATATCACTCAACCTCACATAAAAAGTATAGTTACTAGAACATAAGAGTATTCTGAGGCAGATCAGGGTGTGCTGAGCTGTCTGACACTCCCACACACCCAGGAGGGAAATCTGACAAGCTCCCAAACCAGCAGTTTCTCCTGAAACATTTCCACTAGCTAAAAAACATACATTTCACTCACTGTTTTTACCTTTTAAACATTCTCACACTTTTCCAAATATGCATTTTTTTCCCTCTGGAGTGCTTTAAAACAACTTGATCAAAGCATGCTGAGTTAACATAACTATACTCTGAAGGGCAAGATGCACAGACTGGAAAGCTCCCCTTCAAGAAAAAATCGTTTGTTTTTTTTTCTCCTAAAACTACCAGATGTTACTTCTAAAAATATTTTGCAATAGCTTAGGCCTCCAGACCAATTGGACTCAATATTATATATGACATCACAAGGTTAGCCTCCAAGATAATATTAAGTGACAGTTTGGAGTGTTGGGTCAATCCTGGCCCTTACCGGGATGGATACTCCTTGAATCTGTCTCCTCACTGTGAAAGTAGGAATGACAGCGTCTACCCACTGGGACTGTGTGAAGTTGTTGTGCAAAGTGACTGTAAACATTTATGTCCAGGACTGTCAATCGAAAAGTACCCTGCACATTTAGCTGTTGCTATCATAGTTTCACAACCTATTAAGTGTCAGGGACCTCAGCAATCAAAGAAGGAAGATGCGTGTAGTCACATTTACCAATTCTTCATTTTCAAACTCTGGATTATATTGTGCTGCTTCTTCCGTCACAGGTTTCTGAACAATGTTTCTACAGACGAGCCAGATGGTCAGACTAGCAATGAACATCCCGATGTCAGGTACAAACACTCTGATCCCATTGCCGGCATCAGCTCCCTTCAAGCTACGAAGAAAAAAGGGTGAGGGAGGGGGGGAAGAAAATTCAGTTGTGACGTTTCTGTGATTAAACCATCTTATGGTACATTTCAGTCTTCTGAAACATACTATACTTAATGACTTAAAATAAAACATAATCAGTTTCTGCCTAGAAGGCATAATAAACCTTTCATTGACTTCAGAGTCTTATGAAATCCACCAAGATTCAGGAAGATTCCAGCGTTTCACTGGAGATTCAGAAATATTATAAAGAACCCTTAAACCAATTCTCCTAAAATATGCTAGTGGGCTATATTGTTGTTAAACAAACCACATGTCCAGTACAAATGCAGTTATTTGCAATCTTGCCAGAGCAATTAAAAACTAGACCTATGGTATCAGCTAGAAGATATTTTACTTTAGATGTAAATCAAAACTAGAAGGAAAACGGAAGAAAATGTTAAAGCAAACTTGAATCAAGGATCTCTTCAATATTATAAGTACTTAGCTGATTTTGTCTTCTATACTGTTACAGGAAGGTGGACCTGGTATGTTTCTTCTTTTAATCTTAGAGAAGTAACTTTGAACGTAGAGTTACAAGATTCAGTTTCAAGTCTAAGTCTGAAACTTAGCAGCTGCATTCCATTGGGGAGTGGGGAGGGGTGGATTCTCACAATTACCTGTTCTCCCTCTCTGCCAAAGAAAGAATACTATTCGCCTTCTTCATCTCATTCAAGTGACATGAGATACTAGGTATGATTTTAGAAAACAAGATGAATACCTATATATGAAATAATATATGTGAAAGTTCTTTGTCAAGTATGAAACACATATTTCCACCCAAGTCTATATTTTTAGAATAGTAGCACAATTGACATTTAGATGATTTTCACACTTATATAGCATTTGTTGTTACAACCGAAATCTTGAAACAAATTGGTATAGCAGGCAGCAAAGACTGGAGGGTGAGGTGGAAAGGGGAAAGGGCTTCAGCTGGAAGAGGAGGAGGGATCTGTCTGGGAAGGTAATACAGGCACCATCTGTGATTTTGGAAGGTGTCCAAGAGTGATGAATATGGGAATAAGAGGCAGTACATTGAGCTGCCAGCATGGTTGGCCAGCACACATCACCTCGGCTGAGACGTGTTCTGGCTAAGCTCACTTTGCTGTGAGTGTAAGACAACGGAACTTAACAGCCACTGGCAGCCTTCTCACACCATTCAGCACATGACATGGGCCAGCCACGTTCCTCACCATGGTGCTAGACGACTGCCCAGTGTGCTGCTGCAATTCGGAACGACAGGGCTCATAGCACTGTAGCAACATATACTGCTATAGCCACAGTACTTATTACTATTATTAAAAGCCACATGAAGAGCAATTCCTGGCATATTCTCTACTCGCTCATACAATAGGAATAAAGTCTGGCTAGAAAAAGCTAATGAAATGACTGGGTAATATGAAGAGAAATTTAGAAAGTTAGAAAGTTATCCAGACGTAAGTTTACAAAATGAGTTTAGAGTAGGGAAGCTGTAAGCAGAAGAGTCAAGGGTCAGGGCTAGTACTGAAACTTCTGGAATCGATGAAATGATCAGTGGGAAAATTAAGAGTGGAACTTCAAAGAAGGGTTAAGTCTTTGAAACAATGCTGATCAGAGACACAATTTGTTTAAGGAACAGGAAGCAAAAGACAGTGATATATATCACGTAAAGACATATGTATAGGCCGGGCATGGTGGCTCAAGCCTGTAATTCCAGCACATTGGGAGGCCGAGGTGAGAGGATTGCCTGAGACCAGCCTGGGCAACATGGTGAGACCTCGTCTCTACAATAAAATCAAAAAATTATTAGCCAGGCGTGGTAGCACGTGCCTGTAGTTCTGGCTACTTGGAAGGCTGAGGCGGAAGGATCACTAAAGCCCAGCAGGTCGACACTGGGCTGGCTGTGAGCGTGTCACTGCACTCCAGTCTGGGTGATGGAGCAAGACTCTGACTCAAAAAAAAAAATGCATATATATTCATATATACCTTATGTGATTATAGCTGCTGTATTAATTTATATTGTATATTACATATTTTGGTATAAACATTTAAAAAATAGTAAATAGCAGGATGCTCATCATTTAGAAATAGCTACAGTTGACATCTTGGCAAACAAAAACATATTAATAATATCTACCGTTTACTGAGCGTTTATTTGTACTAAGAGCTTTGCGTCTATTATTTAACCCAAAAGATTAAACCTAAAGATTCATTGTGTAGTTTTAAAGTATCCCCTTTTCAGCTCACCCTCCAGTCTTTGCTGCCTTCCATTTAGAGTTAGCATTATTATTCTCCTTTTGCATATGAAAAAAACTAAGACTTCAAAAGGCAATTTAACTTCCCAAAAGTCACATAGATGGAGAATAGAATTATACTCGCCTCCCTTTATGTCTAAATTTATGCCCTCAACCCACTATGTATGCACCCACAAGGCGTTCCTGTCACTCATCCTTCTATGTGTGGACATGCATATTTATAGTTAACAACACTAAGCTCATATTTTTTGTTTTGACATGGATTTGTTCATTTAATATATCACGAACGTTTTCACAACTCGATTTATTTCTAAACATCATCATGCTTATGGATAGATAGTATTAATTAACAAATCAACAACTGTTGTACTTAGAATGCTTTCATTAATTTGTTACTATAATGTACATATATGTTAAAACTTAAGTAAGAGTCTTCTAAGTTAGGATCTTTTAGGAATCTATCCTCAGTCCAGTCTAATTTGCTCTGGCTTTTAAAGAAAATGATCTAGCCTGAAACTCTGAGACTACTAGAAAAAAAAAAAATTGAAGAAATGCTTTGGGACATTGGTCTGGGTAAAGATTTTTTGAGTAAGACCTCAAAGGTACAGGCACCAAAAGCAAAAATAGACGAATGGGATTATATCAGGTAAAAAGCTTCTGTACAACAAAGGAGGTACTCAACAGAGTGAAGAGACAACCTACAGAACTGGAGAAAATATGTGCGAATTATTCATCTGACAGGGGATTAATATCCAGAATATACAAGGAACTCAAGCATATCAACCGAAAAAAAATAAACAATCCAATTAAAAAACAGGCAAATGATCTGAAGAGACATTCTTTTAAAAAGACATACAAATGGCCAACAGATATATAAGACATGCTGATTACTAATCATCACGGGACTGTAAATCAAGATCACAATGAGATATCCTCTCACCCTAATTAGAATGGTTATTATAAAAATAACAACCAAAAAAAACAGATGCTGGCAAGGAGATGGAGGAAGGGAAGGGGAGTGCTAACACACTGTTGATGGAAATGTAAATTAGTACAGTCACTATGAAAAGCAAAGTATGTAGGGACCCAGAAAACTAAAAATAGAACTACTGTATGATCCAGCAATCCTACAGCTGAGTATATATCCAGAAGGAAAAAAATCAATATATCAAAGAGATATCTAGACTACCGTTTTTATTGCAGCTGTAGCCACAGTAGCCAGAACACGGAATCAACCTAACTGTCCGCCAATAGGTAAACTGATGAAGAAAGTGTAGTATAGATATACATGAAATATTATTCAGCTATAAGAAAGAATAAAATTATTTCACTTGCAAAAACATGGATGGAACTAGAGGTCATTATGTTAGGTGAAATAAGACAGGCACAGAAAGACAAATATTGCATATCCTCATTCGTATGTCAGAGTTTAAAAAGTTGATCTCATGGAGGTAGAGAGTAGAGTGGTGGCTACCAGAGGCTAGGAAGGGTAACAGGGAAAGAGGATGAAGAAAAGTTGGTTTAAGGGGCACATAAACACAGCTAGATAGAAGGAATAAGTTCTAGTGTTCAAAAGGATACCTATAGTTAACAATAGTTTATTGTGTATTTCAAAACAGCTAGAAGAGAAGATTTAGAATGTTCCAAACACAAAGAAATGATAAAGTTTGAGGTGATGGATATTCTAATTTAAAAAATGATCTGGAAGAAGAATTGTACTATGATTCCAATTCTTACACTCTCCTCCCCCCCCCCAAAAAAACACACCACAACCCTACTTGTGTCCAGAGTTTTAAAAAATAACAAATTCTTTTCATTTGGGGCAAGAGTAAGAAAATTCAATCAAGAGATCTTCACCCAAACGACATTTATAATAATGAAACCTGATGATTGATTTTATCATAGAAAAAAATGCAAAGATTTATTGTGTAGTTTTAAAGTATACCTAATGTGATCAAACAGCATAAACTTGAATTAATATCATTAGAATGAAGAGGGGAAAAAGGATCCAGGAAAGAGACCAGAAAACAAAGATCAGGTTTGGGTGGTTGTTTCTGTGTGGGGGTAAAGTCAGGAGAGGGGGCTGGTACGACTCAGGTGAATTTTTGGCAATAGATGATTATAGCTCTTTCATGGAAAGCAAATCGACTGTGGCATTTTATGAAAAGCACCATCCAAGCAGAGTTGAGAGGAAAGGAGTCCTTAAAGGAAAGGTAACAAGAGTTCCAGCTGTGGTCTCAATTACTTCTTGCGCCACAACAGAGAGTCAGTGCCTGATACCTTTCCCACCTGTGGACTGCATTAAGCTCCCAATTTGCAAACAGTCACTTTGAGGCAACAGGCTCAGCTTTGTGCTTCCTGGTCCCAAAAGAGACATTTTGGAGCATACATATTTAGGGGAATAAATGAATGCAGTTTGCAAAAGCAATCACTACCCACTGTGATAGAATTCAGCTACTGAATCCAGGATTGGGCTGCGATTCCTGCTTAGAATGGAATCATTCAGCCATAAAGGTGCTAAACTATTAACTACTACTCTTGGCTTGTCGGGGTAACAAAGTGGTGCATTCATAAAACAGTCATGGCAGAAACAATGAGACTTTTGGAAAAATATAACAAGGAGTGTGTACAGTAAACAGGTCACAGTCTGACATATGTTATTTGAAGACCATCTTATCAATAAAGTTTCCCTCTTCATTGTTTACATCAGTGTTTACTAATGTACATTCA